AAAGTTAAAAAGAAATTGAGTATTCTGACATGATTTGATGACTTTTCATTCACTCTTGATTTTGATTGGTTTTCAGTTATTTTTTTCTCTCTCAAATTTGCCCTTTTTCCACATCTAGCTGAAGACTGCCGTGCAGACGATGACCACTTCGTTGTACCCATAGCTGTGGGAGCATCATTGGGAGGATTAGTTATACTGGTGCTGTTGGCTTATATTATTGGTCACAGACACCAGAGTACCAGATATGAGCGATTTTAGCACCTGGATTGACCCTGTCCCAATTTAGCAGCATGTTTACCACATAATCAAAAGAAAGTGGTTTCTTAAGTGATTATTAGTTCAAGCTATTTTTAGGGAGAAATAATAGACCCAGTATTTTAAAAGGAAACATTTCTAATGAAAGCTGTACTATTTATAAAACTGCAAATCAGAGTCGTGCTTTCACTGGCCCTTAGATAGGAGCTTGGGTTCCACAGCTCATCTACATTCAGTGCTGAAATGAACGCTTCTGCAATCTTAGCCAAGCTTTGATCAGAAGTTCAAGTGCCTTAAACTATTAGGAAGGTGGGCACCATTTGAATAAAATATGTACTTACGCATAAATGAAATGATGACTTGTTTCCCTGACAGTGTTTTCAATGTATTGATGTTTGAGCTCTTGTGATTAAAGCTTTGTTGTCATGCCTTCTGTATACTGTTCATTACAATAAATATTGACGCTGTGGCCCGAGTGCCCATCAGATATGATCAACCTTTGGTTTTCCATTGAGTAAATAAGAGATGGTGGTCCTCAGACCAGCTGGCATTCAGAGGAATACAGGACCATTATGCTGGCTGCCTTTGTTTAACAGAGACAGCTGTGGGGAAGTGGGGGGTGGCTGAGAATGCCACACTTGGACTTGGGATCCTGCTTTTTACTAGTTGTGTGATTTAGGAAAGTCTTCTTAACTGCTTTGAGCCTTTCTTTCCCCCTCTAAAATGAGGGCAATTGAACAACTCTCTGCCTCAATTGAAATGTCAAAGTTTTGGAAACCTCTTAAAGAAATGTCAGCTGAGATTATTCTAGGTTAACGAGAAGATATCCTAGTAAGGATGAAGCTAGCCTTAGCACCTTGCGGGTAAAATCCCACCCAGCAGGCCGAGCAAAGCATGAGAATGGCTATTCTGAAAGAGCTGGTTTCTCTAGGACACCTTCATTTGCCCTTTTTAGTACTGTGAATTGGAAGAGTGCAAACACATTTTTACTAATAATGGGTTTCTTCCTTGGAGTTTTGCCTTTGCCTGGTCAGTGTTGGTAGACGATAGAGCCTAACATGCACTGTTTAGACCAGGGCTTCTTAAACTTTTTCTACTCGCACCCCTTCAGCGCTTCTTAAACTGGGTCATGACCCCACATGGGGTCATATGACCCACAGTTTAAGAAGCACTGGTTTAGACTGCAGCTGGAGTTTTGTATTCAAGTCTGGGCTGGAGGGTGGTGGAAAACCTTGAATCCATGCTATATAAGGATGAGGTGAAGGAATTGGGAAGATTTAATCTGCAGAAGTGAGGAGAGCTGTCTTTGAGAATTTGAAAAGGCCATCGTGGGCAAGGGGGAATAGATTTGCTATTTGGATCCAGGGAGCAGAAGAACCAGGAGCAGGGAGGGGAAGCTGCAACGAGTCAAAATTAGGCTTTGTGTCAGGAAAAGCTTCCTAGCAGGCTGTCCAAAAATGGAAAGGGTTATGTTGGGGGAGGGATGTAGTGGGGTCAGGCCTCTGATGGTCTTCCTGTGAGATAGGGAGATAATTACACTTGTCCGGTAGTGAGTTGGAAGGATTACCTGAGATGGCTGGGGAGGTCTCTTCTAACCCTGGCATTCTGTGATAATTGTATTTCTTTCCATTTACTTGGGTGATCTCTAGCGGATTAAAATTAGTTCAAGGTTGCTTGTTTTCCTTGGGCACTAAGCAGCTTCTGGAAGGAGACCCTCTCCCTGCCATCCCCAAACCTAAGCAGCCATACTGTAGCTACTTAAAGATCCGAGATATAGGCAGGGTGGGGTGTTGGCCAGGTGGAGCTAGAAGCTCCAGATGCTAAAATAGGCTGGAAGATGTCACCTTACTCACTGAGTATCTTCCCTAAATGCAAGAGGCAGTACGGTGTGATGGGCAAACTATTGAATTAGGAAGTAACCCAGAAATTTGGCATGACCTCGGGGACGTGACTTCCTCTATAAAAAGAAGGGGGGCAGGGCTTGAAATATATGAATTTTCTCTTTCGAAGAGAGTAGATGTATGTGTTTGACAAACAGTAGCGTGTTGAGTTGGGAAGAGACACACTTTGACTTGGTTTACCGTTTTATTAATATCTATTTTAATAAGTGGTAAGATACTGGCCTGTTTTCAGAAAATTGTAGCTATTTTGATCTTTTTTTTGTTTAGTTTTCTATCTAAGACATTAGCAATAAAGAATTGCTTATCATTTTACAAATTGATTATTTGTTCAGCATCTCATTCGGTCTTCCTCAGTGAAGGGCAGGAGGTGCTGTAATTCCTTTTAATAATTTATTGAGATTCACACTGCAACCCAGGTCCTTTAGCATCTGCCTTTCTAATTAAAATGCAAGTCAAGGCTATGAGTTTAAAATAGCAAGGAGCAGGGGGGAAATGGCAAATATATTACCCTTGTATAAACCACCTTATGTGTCCCTGTTTTTTTTCTTAGTTGCATTATCGGTGTTTGGGTGAAATTCATTTCAATTCAACAAGCATTTATATAATTTTTTAAAAAAATTTAGCAAAGGAAATCTATTATATTGAAATATGGTTGTCAATTAAAAAAAAAAAAACCAAAACAACAAAACCCGACTTCATTGCTGCCATGTTAATGACCTTTGGCCTAGGGCCTAGATCCCTGCCGGTGACTTCAGGGGCCATCTAGTTCAGCCATGTGATGAAAGAGATGGAACAACTGAGGTTATTCAACCCCCCCCCCCCCCGAACCCCTCTTATGTTCTCTGTGACATGACAGTTTGGCACAAGCAATTAGTAAAGGGTCTCCTCAGTGCTGGGCGCTATTGAGAATCCCCAAAGTTCAGAAGTGGGAGCAGGGAACGGGAGCTGCAAAGAGGCCCACTGAGGCTTTGTGTCAGGGCAAACTTCCTCACGGTTGAGGCTGTCCAAAAAAGAAATGGGCTGCCTAGAGAGTGGTGAGGCACAGTTCTCTGGAGGTCGTCCCGCCAGCTTGTCTGACCACACTCGTCCCGTATTTGGTTGGGGAGATGTGTCTAAGGTTAAGAATCGCTCAAAGAAGATGACCCACTAGTTTCAGCTTTTACATGATTAAAAAAAACAAACAAACATTGGGCATGTTGCCCTTCCTGCCAGTACTACAGTCACTATAAAGTGCTGCAGCATTTGGTGGCTTTGTGTAACAATAGTGCACTGGGGCCCAGTTGGAACACTGGCCTCGTCTCTCATAAGACATTGCCTTCTGACAATGCCTTTTAGGTACTTTTACTGAAGGTATCTATGTATCCTATGATACTTATCGAGTGGTTACTACCCATATGACCTGTGCCCTCTATTGGCCATACAAAGATGAAGAGCAACGTAACCCCCTCAAGGATTTAAACTCAAAATGGGTGCATTGTAATAATAATCACTTTTTAAGGTTTGCAAATTGCTTTATATACATTATCCTCACAACACTGTGAGGAAAGTACTATTATTATCCCTCTTTTACAGATGAAGAAACTGAGGCACAGGGAGGTTAAGTAATTTGCCCGAGGTCACACAGCTGTTAAATTTCTGAGGCAGCTTTTGGAATTCGGGTCTTCCTGATTCCATGTCTAGCACACTGCCCACTATACCAAAGTGCTTTATAAGAAAGGAAGAAAATGAGGCAGATCTTGATTTTAGCTGATCGGAATTAGGGCAGATTTCATGGAGGAGGTATTCCCTGGACTAGGCTTTGAGGAAAAAAAAAAAGATTTGAGCAGCTGGAGATGGGGAGAAGGTATGGTGCAGGGATATGAGCTAGGAAAGGACAAATTCAAGAAATGGCTAGTAGTCACAGGGTCCTAGACCTAGAGTGTTAAGGGACCTAAGAGGCCGAGTCTAACACTCACAGATGAGGAAACTGAGGCACAGAGAAGTTGGTTATGTGACTTACTCAGGATCACACAGCTAGTGATTGAGGCAGGATTTGAACTCAGGTCTTCCTGACTCCAAGTCTGTGCCATCTCTATTACATCATACTGCCGAGTTTGGCTAAAATGTAAAATACAAGAGAGGAAGTAGCATAAAATAAGGCCTGGAAGGCAAAATTGTGCCAGATTATGGAGGGCCTTCAGTGCTCCATTGAGGAGTGTGAAATCAACCGAGTTAGCAATCCAGTGTGGCTGGATACATTCACCCAGTACCCACCTGGTCAAAACTGGTTAGAGTGGTAATCCTTGTGTAAATAAACCTATTTTGTCTTTTCCAAGTTTCTCTCTTACAGGAGCTCTTATTTTGAATCCTCGTGTTGTCCCTGTGTTGTATTTTGGTGGGGGCCATGATGGGTAAGGAAATGAAGTGTAGGTGATGAGTCTGTTCTCCAGTGTCTGTGTGGCAGAAACAGGGCGCTGGCCAGTGTGAGCTAAGCAAAGCTTTTGTGCGCACGTCCACTTGAAATCATCCTTTCTACCTAGTGGAGACTTGGTTTTGGTGGAACTTGTTGGGTTGCGTGTGTTTTGATTTGGTTTGGTTGGTTTTTGGGAAGAGGGGCAGGCAGGGGTGGATGTGGGAGGTGGGGAATGGGACAGAACCAACCAGAATTGGAGATTAGTTTTTCTTTGCGATAAGAGCGGGCAGATGAACCGGAGCAAATGGAATGACCCGATTTGAGAAAAAGGGAAAGGTGGCAAGGTCGTTAAAAGATTAATCTCAGTGTATTTGCTCCTGGCTTAATTGCTCAAATGCTCAGGTTCTTTACTAATATCCTTTCCCTGCTTTCTGTTTGTTCTTTTTCAACAGCCCAAGAATGCTTTGCTGACTCTGACCTGAACTTTCTTATTCCAATCGCAGTGGGTGTGGCCCTTGGCTTCCTTATAATTCTTGTCTTTATCTCCTATGTAATTGGAAGAAGGAAAAGCCACACTGGCTATCAGTCTGTGTAATCACTTCATCCTTCATTGGCTTTCATTTCTAACCAACCAAAGTAATGTGTTTGCTACATAGTTCAGTAGTTTGTTGTTGTTGCTGTTGTTTTTTAGTCAAAATTTCTTCCCCACCATGAGCTACTAGCCAGCTTTAGTATAAGTGAGCCTTGTCCAAAAGCAGATGGGTTCTTTCTGTCCAAGCTGGAATGTAATTACAGAATGAAAGATTTACTCCTTAAAATATTGTCTTGTACGGATCTTGCGGATGGATGTGTTCTCCAGTATTGCAGAGCCCAAACGCATGACTCTCGGCCAATCTAAAGAGGGTCCACCCAACGCGCTGGGGGCCTTCTGGCCGTCGACATTAGGCAACACCATCACTTATCCCTCGTTCTTGCTGGATACTCAGCCCACCTCCTTTTCCAATCCTCCATCTGTTTCATTTTCTCTTTTTCCCAGCTTTGTGCATGGAATTCGACGCTCACAATGTGCTGTGGCCCATTTATACCCACTCTGTGTCTGTCTCTCCATTCCCCTTTGGTTGACCCTCAATTCTGATTCCTTGGAAATTGATTGATTACGTGCTTCACTATCATAGCGCATTGGTATTAAGAAGATGGGGTTTCATTTCAGGGAGAAGCTTGGAGTCAGTGAAAGCTGGCACAATTCCCCAAATTTGATCCAGGGGCTTAATTGCAGATTTAAGCTCTTAAGTCAGTTTCTCAGCAGGCGTTTTATTAAGCACTTACTATGTGCCAGGCAATGGTGCTAGGCTAGTGATGCAAAGAAAGGCAAACAAACCAGTCTGTGCCCTCAAGAAACTCATATTCTAATGGATTATTTAGAGTTAAGGATGGAAGGGACCTTCAAGGTCATTGAGTCCAACCTTTTCTTCTTACTGATGAGGATACTGAAGCCCACAGAGAGGAAATGAGCCAGTGTGGGATGGTATAAAGAGGTCTAGATTTGGCGTTAGGGGAGGTGGGTTCAAATCCTACCTCAGACACTTACTAGCCCTGTGTACTCGGACCAAGTCATTTCACTTTTCTAAGCCTCAGTTTCCTGTGTATAAAATGAGGGGGCTGTATCTGAAGATCCCATAAAGTGAACATTTCATGGTTCTATTTAAATCTTGCTACTTTTCCCAACACACTTTGACACTCCCCTCTCCACAGTGAACAGGAATACTGTTACAGAATTAAGTTACTGCAGGAAGAAATGGAATCTTGTCAGTTTCATTGGTGTTAGACTAAATTTGGTTCATGACAATGATTCCTTCCCCACCCCCAAGAAGATCATTGCTATTTTTCCATTAATGGACCATTGGCCACCATATTATGATTGATAGCAAAAGTCTGGCTATTTTGTTTCTTACTGTGATATTAGCTGTTTATTATTATTTTAAAATAAACATTAAATTGATTTATTACTGCATTCTCTAACAAGAAAAAACATGCCCTGGGCAGAACAATGAATAAAGAATGACCTTTGTCTGTTTTTTAGGCAGTCTGTTTCCCTGGAACCCCAGCTTACTCAGAAAGCTGAGTCCCCTTCTCTCTATTTATGCAGTGGTTCATGTGCATATAATTCTATATGTCCAAATAGTTGTTTCATTAAGGGCCTTTTTTGCATGTGTTTTGGTTTCTTTTCTCTAAGCAGCTAGTGCTAATTCCAGGGATGACATGTACTCTAGATTGTCCTTGTTCAGGGTCCAGCTGACCTGGAAATTTGTTTCACTTGATAGATATCCCTGCAGCAACCCTATTTGGCTCCAGTCTTGGGGGTAAGGTACTCCCAGCCCTCTATTTGCTTTACTAATGGATTATTACCTTATCCCTATAAGTTTCCCTTGCCTTATCCTCACAATGGGCCTGTGATCTCACTCCTGCTATTTTGTATAGAACACATCCCTTTCACATCTTCTTGGACTGTGCAGCTCTTGTCTATATCCTCCCATAAATCCCCTACCACCTGCTAATTTGTAGAGCTTTGGATGCTTTTTTTAGTGTACTCTCCATTCTAGTGACACTGGCGCAAGGTTTCATTTCCCACCTCCAAGCCTTTGCATCTGCTGTCCACCATGCCTAGAATGCGCTCCCTCCTCACCTTTGCCTCTTGGAATCCCAAGCTTCCTTCTAAGCACAACTCAGGTGCCACCTGAGGCCTTTCCTGATGCCCCCAGTTGTTAGTGCTCTCCCCTTCCTAAAATTACTTTGTATATACTTCGTATTTATCTGTGTCCATGTTATCTCCTCCCAGTAGAATGTACGCTCCTTGGGGGCAGGGACTGTTTGTTTTTTCGTCTTTGTATCCCCAGTGCTTAGAACAGTACCTGGCACACTGTAGGTACTTAATAAATGTTGAATTGAATTATACCACATTGGGTTGTTTCATCTCTCTGGGCCCCAATTTCTCATTCTGTAAAATGAGGGAGAAGGGACTGCATGACCTTCAAGGACCCTTTCAGGTCTAAATTAGTGCTAGCAGGACTGCTTTGCATGTCTATCAGTAGCACAAGGAGGATGTTTGTTTTACCCAGATACCTCTCTGTGGGTAATTCAGGACCCAAAAAAGCCCCAAAGATGTCTCCACTGGGCTTTCTCTTGGTTTAAAGACAGAATTGCACTTTCCTTTTTATTTAAGTCCGAAGCTACCTCTCGGCACAGTACATACACAGTCACCTTTTTATTTCCACCATTAATCAGTTCTAAAACATTTGTCAACTGTTGAGGTTATGGAAATGGTTTCTTCCTCCTGCTGAAAAACCACAGTTTCTCAGGCATCTTTCTCTGCTACTTTGCTTGGCTTATGCCCTTTAAAGGCCTACTTCCCAATTTAGGACAAAACATTAGCTTGTTTAATTATATCTCCTTTAGAGCACTCTAGCTATGGCTTACTGATTTCAGCATCTGTCTTGCCAGTGTACGGAGGTAAAGAATTTTTCTCTCAGAAATCTCCTTTTTGAGAGTGTTCCCAAGTGGAAGATGCTAAGGGTTTTGGTCAACATGATAGCACTGTTTTAGCAAATATATGTGACATAGGTGCCCTAGAAACACGATTAATCAAATCATCTTTTGATGTTGATAAAACTTTTAAAAATGTGTTTGGACACTGGGTGTCATGTTGTTTGCCTTTTCAATGGGAGGGGGAGAGACTGGGGGGAGGGAGAGAATTTGGAACTTAAAATTTTAAAAATGAACATTAAAATTTTTTTAAAAAATGAATTGATGCTTTAAAAAATTTCTATTGATGCCTTGTTTTTATACCACAGTGATTTCTAGATAGACCCCTTTCCTCCTCCTCCAACTCAAATCCAGTGTCTCTTGTAACTAACCATTATGTTTGATAGCATATGCTGCATTACAAACTCAGAATCCTCCACTTCTCCAATGAAAGAAGGGAAATGATGCATTTTGTTTTTACATCACAGTCATTTTTGGATGTATTACTCACCCCACCCCCGCTCCCAGACCCATGCAGTGAACCTTCCCTTGTAATAAAGAAAAATAGTTAAGTAAAATCAACTGATACCATGACAAAGTTCTAACAGAGTATGCAACAGACTACACCCATAATCCCCCCTTCTCCAATGAAAGAAGGTACATTTCCTCATTGCTTCTCTTGGGCCAAGATTTTACCTTGATAATTAAAGCCTACTTTAAAAAAGAAAAAGAAAAGAAAAAGTCATACTCAGGAAACTGTCATAGATACATCCCCAAATATCGAATTTTTATTTAGAAATTGTGATCTTTTTTTAGAGACTTCAGAACAGGAACTCTCTGTTAGGTATCTCAGCTTCATTTTAGATAGAAACTAGCAGATAGTGTAGCTTTCTCTTTTAATCATAACCTTCCAAATAGGACTGAATCAGAACAGGATGGAAACTTGAGGCCTATCCTATCCCTGCTCCCACCTGCAGGCCACGAGGTTTGAAAAGTGTTAAGCTCTATTCACCTGGTTCATTTTGATGCCAGTGACATAATACTGGATCAGAAGGCTATAGATGGGTCTTTGACATCCAGTTGGTTTTGCAGCCAGACTTAGTTAGAGAGACGGATGGCCCTATTACTAAAATGTTTGGATAGATGTATCTATCTGCTAAATTTAGCCAAAGTGTACTGTAGTCAGGCACTTTGGCTATTTGTGGCTCTAGAACAAAGGATACAGATGTTTTTCTTGAGCAGCTGCTGGGTTCATCACATTGGGTAATTTTGTGTTTATTCCACATGCTGATCTTAGTCTAATCTAAGTGAAGTGGATGTATGGAGCCTCCCATAACAGGCCTGACCCATGGTTTATCTTTAGATAGAAACATATCAGAACCTTAGTCCAGACCAGGAGGCCCACATTGCCATGGAAATACCAGGCATGCAGTCTAGAAATAAAAACACAAACCGAGATTTGACTCATATCAACTCTTCTCGACCAGTGTGATTTCAGGTAATAACCATCTTCGTGGATGCTCTTGAATATCATTGTTTCAATTCATTCTGTTCAGAGAAAGGTTGGGGGACCTGAGATTGGCTTCCTTTTATCGTGACTAATCTCCTTACCACAAAATGTTTATATACAAATGCATACATATTTACGATAAGTAACAAGGTTGTCCAAATCACTAATTATTTACATGTGGGGAGAAGAAATTTCATTTGGAAGCCCATTCGTGGTTTTTGTATTTTGGAGTCTCATTAAAGGTGAAAGAGTTCATATTCATGTAGAATGACAACCTTTTATTCTAGGAAGCTACATGAAATTGTAAGAGACTTGAACAACTTTTAGATGAGAAAAGAAAGGGAATACCCATTGCACCCAACTGGGATTCAATGGAACTTTTTTTTTTTTGCCCTGGTCTTTAGTCACCTCCATACCACATTGCAAAACCCATTCCCCGCACACTCCTTGCTCCCACCCAACTTGAAGTTCCAGCCTGGCTTCTTTAAAGTCCAGAGGATACTTTGCAAGGTGAGGGTGGGGGCTGTTTAAGAAGCCAACATCAAACAAGCATTTTAAGGTTACTGTAGCATGGGGTGATTATATATATGATCCTCTGACTTGGAGAAAGGCCATATTTTTTATAATCATCGGGTAATGATGGCGTGCATGTTTTTTCTTTTTTAATAAGTTTACTTTGATGTTTGGCATTTTCTCAGTATTGTAGTGGTGATTTAAGTGCTGAGATTGTTTTTAAGTTTCTATACTTAGAAATATGGGGGCACCCAGTAGTCAAAGGATGTGGATAAGAAGTTCTCAAAGGAAGAATTGTAAACTATTAACAATCATATGAAAAATTGCCCCAAATCACTAATAATAAAAAATGCAAATAAAAACGACTGTGATTTCACCTCGCACCCTGAAAATTTGGCAAGGATGACAGAAGATGGAAATAGTCAATGTTGGAGGGGCTGATGGAAGACATGCATCGTTGGTGGAGTCACTGTGAAGTGGTCAGATCATTCCAAGAGAGCAAATTGGAATTATGCTTAAAAAAAAAAAAAGTGTCTACCAGGGGTAGGGAACCTGTGGCCTCAACGCCACATGTGGCCTTCTAGGTCCTGGGGTGCAGCCTTTTGACCCCTGCATTTGACCCAGAGATGCCATTGCTAGGCCAAGGAGGTCAAAGACAGAAAGAAAGTTCCCATATGCACCAAAATATTCATAGCACCACTTTTTTGTGGTAGCAAACACCTGGAAACAAAGGTGTCCTTTGATTAGGGAATGGGTAAAGAAATTGTAGTACTGCCTGGTACACAGTAAGCACTTAGTAAATGTTGACTAACATGAATGTAATAGAATATAATGGCGCCATGA